GTATTACAATAAGACAAAAGCTTCCACGCAATATAGACTGATGGAGGTAGTACGATAGGAGCACGAGGAGCCGCAGAGAGAGCAGGAGCGAGACGAGAGAGAGAGAGAGAAGAGAGAGAGAAGAGCAGAGAGAGAGAGAGAAGAGAAGGAAGCCAAAAAGACGATAAGACGGCGAGAGAGCTGTTGACATAACAAGTACCAGCCTTTATGAGCCCATAAACAAATAATCATAAAAGGAGGTAATAAAGGGCAAAGCTAATTTAACGACTGCCCGTGGATATGCTGCCGTTATAAGCTGTTAGTCAGCGGGAGCCGATCTACGTCGCAAGAAGTAAGTGCTAGGGCCGATGTGAGATGTAAAGCAATCATGTCGACTCTATGCAACACCCATATCAATCACATCACGAAACACATACACACACACACACACGCGCGCGCGCGATCTCATGCTATCGTGTGGCAAAGCGGATTAGCCCACGTGGACACTTCACGCGTTACATACTTAGTCGGCTAATCATAAAATGGGTTTTGGCGGATTTAGTGAGAAAGCGGAGCAGAGGCGATTAGAAAATTCTGCATTTTATATCACTAAAGCCGCGCGCGCACACGTGAGTAATTTTACTCAAGTAAAGATGATCGCATGCGTTAAAATACTCACGCGAAATTTTTCAGCGTCCCGCACACTGCAGTAAAATTACTCAAGGTGTATAAGTAGTCAATGTAGATCCACGTGATGCCTGCCGCAGCCAATTGACTGGGCGCAGTCATCTTTGAAATGATTCTAAACGCATGCGCTCCTGTGAGTACCAGTAGTTGGAGTAAAATTTACGCAGCTAGCGCGCGCACACGTTGAGCTATTTTGACGCACGGAGTCAAAAAAATTATCAAACATCTTTGATATTGGAGTTTCTTGATGCCATGGCGTCATGCCCCAACCGAAAAATCCGGCTGCCACACGTGCAGTATTTATGACGGCCATGCCACCATTTTACTTGGAGGGAAAATTCCCAGTAAATTACTCATGTGTGCGCCGGGCTTAGAACATGCCATTGAACAACACGCCAACACGCACACCAAAACATGCATGGACCACATATATCATATGTTTCATATATCACTAGTCTATGGGACCGTTCCGTTGCCTTCTCATGCAATTGGTGAAGACAGGATCAGCTGGCCAAACAAGAACAATGCACGGAAACTGTGAGTACGGGCGCGTGGTGGCAAAGTGGAAAGCAGGCCCAAAGACAGAGTTCAATTATTCACGCCACGAGCATTCTTTACCACACGAGAATTTTTACCGTAGCCCCCTTGTCCACGTGACACGATCATAGTTACATTGTACTGAACAAATCGTTGAAGGTAGCCCCTCCTCTATAATACTATTCCTATCAGCCGCGCTCATTTGCTTCACAGAAAATAACAAGTTCCCTTAAAATCCCCGATAGCTCGTGTACGAACTTAAGGCAAGATGGTGCCTCCCTCCAACCAAGCTTTCAATTAGCCTGCGTAAACTCATGATCACAACACCCTAACCGCGACATATGGCCATTCATCTGCAATAGGCCTCACGAACTATATATATCAATATATTTATGATTTACGTATATTTATCTATCTGGCCATTGTGTGCAGTGAAATGCTATCTTGGCGTAACTCATACATCGCTCAACAGCCGGCGTAAACATTAAAAATTCGTCTCAAAATATCATTTAGCAACCTTCACCATACAAAAGTAACTCACATTGTCACGCTCTGATCGCACGATGATCACTATGTATCCCCGGGACTTTTGCTTTAGCTTGATTATGTTATTACACACAAAAACACATCTATGGCCTCTACGTACATAACACGACTTGCCCCAAAAAACTACAAGCCTGCTAAAATCCGCAGTACTTTCAATAAAATATCAAACCCATGTACATATTACAAAAACATCTTTCGAGCTGCTTAGCAGAAGGGCTTACTTTCCAGAACAAACACTTATAATATAACTCGCTGTCTTTTTAGATAATACGTCAACAAGTGAGCATTTGCTGCGGGTCTCCACAGACCCCGCAGTCTATGCTGCAAGTATCTCAAAAAAGAGCTGCATAGTCGCTACTCTCGGCTCTCTCTTCCTCCTCATCGCCCTCAGCCGAACGATATTAAATAAATTCTCTTCTAGAGCAATCGTCATGCGCCACTACCGTTACCTCAGCGTCTGTGTATGCTCTATCCTATGCTCTGATGTGTCTCTTCACTCCATCTGCTGTACGTCCGGATCAACCCAGGCGCCGCTTGTCTAGACGGTCTCCTCGCAAACGAACCGGCGATAAATTATCACCTCGATAATAACAATACTTCACAAATGGCGCTGCGTTGTTGGCATGCGTCGCGCGGTGGAGGGTCGTTGTGATGTGTGGCTGCTTGGTGTGTGGTTGTCATGCGTAATACGGTGGGGGGTTTGTCGTCTTCTTTTGTGGCGTGCTTGTGTGTGGGTGCGTTTTCTGTTCTTGGCGTGGGTTGGGTGTTTGTGTGTGTGTCTCTGTCGTGTGTGTGCGTGTGCGTTCCGCGTGTGTCTATTGCCAGTACGTGCGTCTGAGGTTTATGCTGGGCGGTGCGTGGCGTGGTGGCGCCCGTGCGATGTACTTAGATGTACTACTATATGTCAACGTGAGAAACACAGCAGATAACGATACAGCCCCAGCTGGTTGATCCACCTATATATCACATTGCGAAAGCCACGCACCGGCTCCAACGCCACGGCGCGGCGCCGCGCATCCGAAAACGCTAGTCGTTCTAAAACTTCGCCCTTCTCGATCGATTCTTATTCTCGCAACTCTCCAAAAGTCGCGACGCGGGCCGGAGCTGATCGGCTCGCCACGGCGACATGACTCCATGTGAACGCGAGCAATCCCTTTGTGGCGCGACGGGGCGTGCGTGCATTTCACGCAGTGGCTGAGTGGTGCTGCTTTATTAAACTGCGCCATAGCGCCGTCTGTTTACATCTAACACCACGAACACGGCACACACACATGTACGCACGCGTCTATGCACAGCACGTTGGGCGCCGAGAGCCCACGAGCGCTACCGCATCCACTTATCTGCCGTCAACTGGTCGCTGACGGTGATGGACCTTTGATTGGCCGCAAGAGCGGGGAGACACTTGACGCATGATCATTCTTGCTTCCCGGCCACTCTCGACGCACGGCTGAGACGATCTTGGTGACAATCGGTCGACGGGTCAGCGATGCATGGCCTCTTGACGATCGTGACAGCGCATGACGCAGAAGTGCGGTTGCGTTGATGGCCCTTGGGAAGATCGGTGACGGTCAGGACGGTGATGATCGATGATGGCCGCGCCGACAATCAGCGCTGACAGTCACTCGGCTTGATCGACGCAGGTGACATTGAGTGACGCGCAAGTTAACAATCAGCGTCAACAATCGGTGACGGCTGGTAATGCATCCCCCCAGGAACGGTGACGCCATGACATTGACAACTGCCAATATCAGCTGATGACCGGTGACAATTCTGGTGACGATAACGGGCTCACCGATCACCGATCGTGGGTGATGAGCAGATCGCATGTTCAGCGAGGCGCGGGGGGGCGGGCGGCTCTCGCTGCCTTACACCAGATGGCCGCCGAAGCATCAGCTGCAACTCACGCCTGCCCTTCAGGGAGCGCCACAGCAGCACCGTTGCCTCACATCTACCCTTCATGGGGCCGCCCACGCCACCATCCACTAATCCCCTCACCGCTACCCCTCCAGTTGGGCGCCCACGTCATCACTATCACCCCCGCCTACCTCCAGGGGGCGCCACGTCATCACTATCACCCCCGCCTACCTCCAGGGGGCGCCACGTCATCACTATCACCCCCGCCTACCTCCAGGAGGCGCCACGGCATCACTATCACCTCCCGCCTACCTCCAGGGGGCGCCACGCCATTACTGTCACCTCACACCTGCCTTCAGGGGGCGCCACGCTCGCTCGCGGCCCACGGCGGGCGCCGCGTCACAGCTTAAGGCAGGCGAGCAGTTCGCTGCACAGGCGCTTGTACGCGCAGCAGTCGCCGTCGAGCTGCCGCAGCCACACGCCGTTCGTGAACAGGTTGACCGGCCGCACCTCCAGCTCTAGCCGCACGCCGGCGCGCCGCAGCACAAACACGTTGTCGGCGCGGCGGTAGCGCAGCGACGGCGCGCGCTCGCTCAGCGCACGCTCAATCTCCGCGTACACGCGCTCGATCGGCTTCGACGTCGTCGTATGCACGGCGATGGCGAAACACACGCTCGCGGGCGACGCCGCCGCGTACAGCCCGCGGTCGTCGCGCTGACCGTCGGGCAGTAGGTACGCGGGCATGAGGTCGCGCTTGTGCCGCTTCGGCAGCTGCACCATGCTCACATCCGGGTCGGAGCTCGAGGTCTGCCGTGTCGAGCCGCCGTCCGTCGGCTGGAACGAGTGTCGGTGGCCCGCGGAGACGCTTGGATACGAGTGAGAGGCGGAGGGCACCGGCGGCGGGGTCGTGGGGTCACCGGCCGAGCCGCCGTCGCCGTCGCCGCCGTCGCTGATCAGGTTCAGGCCGCTGCTGTAGCTCGGGAAACGCGGCAGCTCGAGCGAGCCGACGCGTCGCCGCGGGCGACGCGCGGCCTTCTCCTCGCACTCCTCAGCCTCGTCGTCCTCGTCGACCTCGTCGACCTCAGCGTGTGACGTGGGGAGGAGACCGAATGGGTTCCCGAGGGAGGCGAGTTCGGCGGGGCGGTGCGTGCGCAGGGCAAAGTGCTGCATCACCTCTTCTCCTTCCTCGTCGGTGATGCTGCAAGCGAACGCGAAGCCATCACAACTTAACATTCCGGAACATGCATGATTTTGTGGTTTTTTAATAAAAGCAAAATAATTTGAGAGGCTACAGCTAATGCTTAATAAATGAGGATACATGATTGCTATTATATGACGCTACACCTCCTGCTGCTGCTACTGCTACTGCTGCAGCTACTACTGCTGCTACTACTACTGCTGCAGCTACTACTGCTGCTACTACTGCTGCTGCTGCTACTACTGCTGCCGCTGCTGCTACTACTCCTGCTGCTACTGCTGCTGCTGCTGCTGCTGCTCCTACTGTGGCTATTACTACTACTACTGCTGCTACTGCTACTGCTACTGCTGCTGCTGCTGCTGCCCTTGCTGCTGCCTGCTGCTGCTGCTGCTGATATGGCTGACTGATACAGCCGGCTACTTGCTGCCTGCTACTGCTACTGCTGCAGCTTCACTACTGCCAGCTGCTGCCTACACTTCTGCTGCTGCTGCTGCGTTGCTTACTACTGCTACTGTTACTGCTGCTGCTCTTCTGACTACTGCCCACGCTAGCGCTTACTATGCTGCTGCTACTGCCTGCTGCTCTCTGTACTAATATTGACAATAATAATGTGATGGCGATGACGAAAGCTAGAGGCCGGTCTTTCGACTACGTCACACACCTGATGTGCCGGCTGCTGCCCATGCGCGGACATTTGTTGCCAGGTCCATTTGCATCTCCATGTCAACGGTCGTCGTTCATATCACTCGAGCATTCTGCAAGCACCTTGAAGACTTGATAACAGCTACGATTGATCACGACCAGTTCACGATCAATGCATGATGATTACACAAGTATAATGTTGATCACGACCATCTCACGATTAGCAGTATGAGTTGATCACGCCAGTGTCATTGATCACGGACCAATTTCACCATCGATGGATGATTGATGACACCAGTATTAATTTATCAGACATTCACGAATTCAGTACGATTGATCACCGCAGTGTGCACGTGATCCGACCATTCACGCAATCAATGGATGATTGATAGCACAGAGTGATTGATCACGACCATTGCACAATTGCCAGTACGATTGATCACGCAGTGTGATTGATCATGACCATTCAACAAATCGATGATGATTGTTCACCACAGAGTGATTGATCACGACCATTCCCGCATTGCCAGTAATCGTATTTGATCAGCAACCATTCACCAAATTGCAGTACAATTGAGTTCACGCAGGTATGATTAGTATCACGACTATTCACGCTTGCAGTACGATTGATCATGCAGTGTGTATTGACTGCTGGACTATTCACGATTGCACGTACATTGATCACGTGCAGTAGTGAAGTGATCATGACCATTCACGATTGCAGTATGATTGATCACATGAGTGTGATATACTCGCACTGATTGTTCTGTCTCTTGTCTACCGTAAATCGCGTGTATACTACTATAATAGCACCACATGTTCAGTATACATCATTGTGCTAGCAGAGTAGGAACTGCCACTATCAGAACATATACCAAGTACGTGTATGCTACTGATGCCACCGGTTTCTATCTGTTTGAGCATATACTTAGAATGACTATGTATTGATAGTTACTTGTATCTATATGTTTTGAGCCATATACCTGATGACTTGTACTGATATCACTGGACTGCGTCCCCTCCCTCTGACAAGCTGCTACGATTCAGGCAGCTGGATCTGCTGTTCTATGTCCTCCTGTATCATGTGCCAGGTTCTGAAAGGCAGGCGGAGGCTGTTCCTCGGCTGCGGAAAGCTCCTGCAGCGCGGCGGCAGTGAGAAGAAAAAACGAAACATAGTTAGACTCGTGCAAGCTCCGAAAGAAATGAAAAGGGTTCACTGGATTCGCCTTTCTCGATAATTGCACAAGCATGCAGTCTAGAGATTTTTGCCTGCCCAGACATTCGTGAAAAACCCTTCTCCCTAAGATATAAACGCCTGGTCATCTATAACAACAGGACATTCCCCAAGGTACGACCAGCCCACCATTCTCCATGTATCTACCAGCCCATCCGTCCCCCATTGTACCTACCAGCACCATTTCCCATGACCTAACCAGCCACCATTCCCCCATGTACCTACCGAGCCCACCATTGCCCCCATGTACCTACCAGCCAATGCATTTCCCATGTATCTACCAAGCCCACCATTCCCCCATGTACCTACCAGCGCATATTATTCCCCATGTACTCTATCCAGCCATCATTTCCCCCATGTATCTACCAAGCCCAACCTATTTCCCCCCCATCTATCCACCAGCCACATTCCCCCATGTAACTACTCAGCCATCATTCCCCTGTACCTACCAATGCCCATCATTCCACCCATGTACCTACCAGCCGCATCATTTTCCCCTGTACTACCATGCCACATTCCCCCATGTACCTACCAGCCCATCATCCCCCATGGCTACCTACCAGCCCACATTCCCCCATGTATCCTACCAGCCCATCATTCCCCCATGTACCTACCAGCCCATCATTCTCCCATGTCACATGCCTTCCGTCACTTCAAACTAATACTACTTTAAACTAATCTTTTATACGTAGAACCACATCGAGCGTGTTTCATAGCGTGCACCTCCCAAGCTACTGGGGGTAAAAGTAACAAGAGCCGCAGAGCGTCTGGGCTCATCTGAGGTCTGTTGCTTACGGTTATAAACGTAACCATTTAAGGTCTGTGCCGTAGTGACACCTTTGTTAGCGCGCAGATATGCAGATACGACAGTTGCAATACACATTCATTCAGCAACTTCTTGCATTCTGCAACTCCCAATATGCCCATTGGTGATCAATACAGAATCCCGTGCCCTGAAAACTCGCTGTTTTAGGTGCCATGGTGCATTGTGACCCTAACCCTAACCCTATTAAAAAATATAAAAAATTAAATGTTGTTATTAAATTGTTGTAAATAAATTATGTAAATATCTGTGTTAATTGGAAAAAAATTGTTAAATGGATAAAGATAGAAAAAAAACCAGAAAACAGGTAAATAATAAAAAATCAGAGGTACGCGTTCGCCGATCCAGGCTTATTTGGTTTCTAGATTATGGATGTGCCATGAATATGACAACACTGTGATGTCATTGAGGCAGTTCAGGAATCCATGTTTAACCCTCCTCTTGAGGGTCAAAAGGTTGTCAGACACTTACTCTTTGCACGTCAGTGAAAAGCACATTTCATGGTTCTTTCAATAAAGTGATAAAAATGGTAGGTCAGCGCTGAAACAAAAAGTTCTTCACCCTGTCCATTAGGCCATGTCCTCAGAAAATGTCTGATATCTGACCTTTCCCCAACTGCCCTTTGACCTGTGACCTCCAATTTCACACTGGTGATGAGTTTCCTGCCCATCACACTATACACCGAATATTAAGAGCATAGGTCGAGCCGTTAAGATTTGTGCCGCAATTCCGTATTCCCTCCTATACCTTAAGTTAAGGGGGAAATATTCCCCCTCCGTTTACACATCTTGATCTTTGACCCTTGACCCCAAAATTTGTCATCCTGAGTCCTTTTCACGATCCCCCCCCCTCCCCCCCGACGTCCCGAATATCGTGACCGTACGTTGAGCAGTTAAGATTTATGCCCAACTGTTGACATTCGGATGCACGGACGCACGCACGATCATGCGATTCTACAAGCTGCATCTGACTACGTCAGATGAGCTAAAAATGAGATGACGAACCAGGTTGATCGCTTGGAGCCGACTAACTAACTAATTAAAGAGACCGCTGCTCGTTACTGGTGGCGTTCGTTAGGCGCGGCAAGGCGTACCTGTACACGGGCTGCGCACTGAGCGGTGACACTTGCTGAAGCTGCAAGTGCTGCAGCTGCTGTTGCAACATACTCGACTGCAGCTCGGTGCATCCCGACGGGCTCGGAATCGCACTGCTGGGCGAGCCTGCAACGAACAACTCCGTGAGACGCGCGTGTCATGTTAAGACGGGGTTTGGCGGGCGAGACTCACGTAGACTCACACGTGACGCCGCGAAGATGGAAAAAACTTGGTGGACAAGGATGTGGTGGAAGCAACAGCAGGTATAGTTAGTCATAGTTTTCCCTCGTAGGTGCCTAGATGGCACATAAGGCCATGACGAGAAATCACCAACGTCGTCGGTCCACTGCTACTGGCCTCAGCGTGTCCGTACAGCAGGTACAAATGGATTCAATAATCTTGGGCGTTTTATCATTCTCCTGTTCACCACGAGTGCAATGGCGCGATGACAGAAGACACTTAACGCAGCAGAAGGCGTTAAAAAGGGTAAAAAAGTGCCCACCAGATAACGATTATGAGGGGAGCAAGAATATGTGAGGCAGCAATTTCGGCAAAAATATTGAGCGAGATTGATGAAAAAATCAAAAAGGCGGCCCTGCCTTACTTAACATATACCAGGGGAAGCACTGTTGTGCCAATCAAACTTGTCACAAGCTTACAACTCGCTGGCACTAAAAGCTACAAAGCTATAAAGTCACTACTGCTATAAAGTTAGCAATGACCAACTAGTTTCAAATCGGAAGGTAGTCATCGCCACAGTCTTAAAACTCCATCGAGATGAAAAAAACAGCTCTAAGAGATCACCAGCACTCCAGCAGAAAGAGAAAGAGAGAGGGAAAGAGAGAGGGGGCGAGGGAGAAAGGGAGGGGTCGAGGGGGAGAGGGAGAGGGCGAGGGAGAAAGAGGGAGAGGGAGAGAGAGCGGAGAGGAGGAGAGAGAGAGGGGGAGAGGGGGAGAGGGAGAGGGCGAGGGAGAAAGGGAAGAGAGAGAAGGGGTGAGAGGGAGAGGGCGATAGAGAAAGAGAGAGAGGGAGAGAGAGAGGGAGATGGGGAGGCAGAAAAAGAGGGGGAGGGAGAGGGCGATAGAGAAAGAGGGAGAGGAAGAAGGAGAGGGAGAGGGAGAGGGAGAAAAAAACAGAGAGAAAGAGAGAGAGAGACAGACAGAGAGAGACTTTCGCATTACTCACCGCCTGTGGGTGGCGAGCGACAGCGGCCGTTTGGCAGTGACTGCGGGGTAACGGTGAGGAGTGGCGACGTCATCTCACCAAGGTGCATGCTCTCAGGCGTGCTCCCACACCGCCGCTCCTGTACATGCAGCGTATGCTTCTGCTGCAGCTCAGCCTGCGCACGAGAGAGAGACACGAACCATGATACATCAGTAGCGCTGCAGTGCAGCTGAGGGAGTCGTGCGTGTGACGTTTTACAAAAAATCCACATTGTGTTCAGTAAAGTCATATTCACCTAGTCAATTGCCTATTACTTGTTTCTAGTTGATTATTATTATTATTAATTATGATTGCTTTTTAGATTTTTTAAGTGCCAATTACTATCAGAGAAATTCAACTAATTTCGCATTTGCCCCCAGACTATGAGGGAAGGGACTCCTTCAATGTAATCACAATTTTAGGACAAAACTTGGGACTGTGATGAAACGCAACAGTACTGAAAAAGTAACACGATATTATTCATGGTACATTCAGAATTGTGTTTCTCTGATGACAGGATGATCGCTTAGCGCAAAGGGCCAGAACCAAGATTAATCACATGACCAATCATTCTGACCAATCATTGGCGAGACCTAAACCCATTAAAAACAGTTCACAAACAGGAAACAATCCCCGCTTCTCATCCATAACATAATCAAAACCCCTCCCTGGTGCCTCCTCCTTCACCGCCCCTTTTGTACCATCTCGCCTCCTCCTCCTCCCCCACCCCCTTTTGTACCATCCCGCCTCCTCCTCCTCCCCCACCCC